CTTAATACTTAAATAATATAATTGGTTGAATATTACAATAAGAGATAATATAAAATACCAAAGTACAACTGATGCTTTTTGCACTACCTCCAGACTTTTTTACACTTATTTAAAAAAATGTTGATTGTATTATTTGAGCGTTTTCAAGAAAATTTTAAATAGATAGCACCTATAGATATATTAAATGCATGTAATCACTAAACTTAGTGTCTTATTAAAGATATATTGATTTATGCAAAGGTTACAAAGACAATTTATCTGTACAGAGAATGGTTGTTTTGATACTAATAATGAGTTTATCTAAACTATTATTATTATTATCTCTAACTTAACTTTATTTTAAATCATTCTTTGATTATAAAATAAATATTCATAATTTTAAAATTTTAAATTATAACATCTCGTCATGCCTAAGTATACTTTCCATGTGTGATATATAATGTATAAAAGCATTTATCTAAAAATGTATTTTTGATGTTTAAAAAAGTTAAGGAAAATACGAAAAAATAAATATCAAATAACACTTAAAGTTTACTAATACCAAGTTCAAAAGTTTTACAAAATTACCCTCGATTCCTTTAAACTTTAAATTACGGCGTTTAATGCTCAGAACTATTTATTCATTGTTAGCTGTTATACTTAAAATTTTCAAAACAATTTAGTCACTTTATGAAATGATCTAAAATCTACTATCACTTTTTAGTTTATAATATAATATTGTTGAAAAATGATGAACTAAGATGTATTTTAAACGCCATAACTTAAAATATAAACTATAGCATTTCGATCCAATAGACCTAAAGCTAAGACTTAAGTAATGAATATTTATGATGATTAGCATCATACAAGTAAAATACACTTTATTATGGAAATGTCAGTGTCTTAAATTTAGTCAACACATAATGAAACACATTGGAGACTTCAAAAGAAATAAGTATTAAGTGGAATGAAAGAATTTTAAATATTTAATGGATTTTATTTTTTTTTTATTCCATAATTTGAATATGGGTAAAAACTTTAAAATTGAATTACTTGTCTTCAAAATCATGGAGCTATACATGCATAGTATTCATGAACAAAATATGTCTGAAATAAATTATGTACCTTTTCACTAAAAAATAAAATAATCAAATACTAAAATATTTAAATATTCTATTATTGCAATACTGGTACAGCGTTAACATATATTAATTCATAAACAAAAACCATTTTTTTCTTCGTTGTGCGTCATTACGGAATGAAGGAAGGAAATGATTTATTATGGCAAAGATAAATTAATAACACTATAGCTACTACGCAAGTATGTTTCCGGTCTTGTTTTAATTTTATTTTCGCTGATAGTTATAAATTTTCATACTCATTTAATAGGGACGCTAACTTATTGTTTAAAACAAATGCAATTTTTTCCGACTTAAGGTGAGAGTGTATTCGGTATACGGAATAAACGTGAGTTGCTATATTATTGTTTTGCGTACACGCCAAGATAATGCTTTCAAGAGGCACCTACGGCTTTTGCATACCTATACCTAAACCTATCTGTGTGGTAGAGTGGAAAACTGAAATAGATAGTGTTGGGTTTTAGTGTTTAGAGAACCACCCCCCTTCCGTGCATCTAGCTACACAAAACGCCGAACAAACAGTTGATCAATCAACAACAGCAGCTGTACTCGATTCAAGTCCCGACGTCGTATGGTCTAATGGAGATACAAATGTATTTGAACAGTATGATAATAATGAAAACCACGACGGAGATAAACTGACCAAAAATATAAACACAAAACGTACAACACAGATATATCTGTGATTAAAAAATAATTAATCAAAATCGACTTAATTGTGATACAATAATGAAAAGAATATGATTTTTTTTTATTTTAAAGGAAATTATAAACAATTGAAAATATTATTATTTCAGTATATAACACTGTAAAAATTAATTGTTGGCATTCTCCTTTTTTTTCTAGCTTTTTCTTCATTTAAAAATTTTAATCAATAACTATTTACAATTATTATAATTAGGTAATAAAAAAATATATACGCAGATAAATATTAGACTTAATAAGTATAATAATCATAAAATAATTAATTTTATGTTATAATATACGTAGGTAATTAGTAATTATTCCAATACATTTGAATGGCAAATTAATTTCAAGTCGCAGTAGCTAAGCTGGTGTGTTTGAAACGAAATATACTTTAAGACACTCTTTATACCTTTACCTATATGGCTACATGATACAATAGTACTTTTTATTACATAAATATTTTATTGTCAAGGGGTTTTAGATAATAATATACTACTTGTGTAATATTTAGGTAGAGAATATCATGTATTGAAAATTAACTATTTAATGCAGGATGATCGAATTTTAAGTTTAATTAATTTTGACCTCGTCATTACACATTACTTATAATCAATAAGACTGTAGCAAATAGAAATATATGTGTAGATATTATTCAAATAACATATACCTACATTGCAGATCTAAATTACCTTTTCTGGTACTTCAAAGCAGAGGCCAATCCACGTGAACGGCGTACCTATATTAACAGATAATTATGTTCATAATGTTCATAATGTTCATAATATATGGAAATGTTTGGTACCTATATGGTGCGGTGATTTATGTACTTCAAACATATACAGATGTGGGACATCAGTGTTGTTAATATCGTTATAATTCTTGAACTATATAACTTAATACTTTTTAAGAAACATTAATAATGTAGTGCACACGAGAGACCATAAGAAAATGTTCATAACAATATAATAATTGTATATTAATTGATATTTTATAAATCGTGGGTTGAAGATATTTAATTCTTATAGGGGATAGCGATTAATGATTATAGAGTATATTATGGAATGTAGATAGTCAGGTTACGTTAAAATTTCATTTCAGAAATTGGAAATTATCCAAAAATGTTTCCTTTTTTAAAGCCATTATTATTTGTTGTATTAAATATAAATATACAAGTTATTTTCGGATTTTAATTTGTGTTAAAGAAAAAATAATGTTATTACTGTTTATTGTTTAGTACTAATTATTAAAGTTAAGTCAGTGATAGAGCTCAAACATGACAACGTAAAATATGAAATAAATTATTTCATATCATAATTTTACAAATTAAGCTTTTCTAGTATATTCATAATTCATTATATGTATATGTTTTAAAAATGTACACCTAATTCAAACCCTAAAGTAGCTAATATAACACTAAATGTACATGAAAAGTTAGTTAAGGTGTCCGACGAGTCTTTACCAACACTTTGTAAGTGGTTATGTAAATTATATTAGGTATACAGTTTTTTTATAATTTTTAGGGACATCATATTATAATAAATGTTACCATATTATATTGCATTATGAATCATTTTTATTTTTAACTTTTATCAACAATATTGTGTATGAATCATTAACAAATCATTGATTTCTAATTAATAAGCAGTGCCTCCAAAGGACGTTTAAATAACAATACGAGCACACAATAATGGCATTATCTTTTTATATTATCATAAATATATAAACATTTAAGTACTTACCACCCTTAACCAACATAAATAAATATAAACCAATAAATCATAATGTTCGATAAGCTATTGATGAAATTTTTTCGTTAAATATTATAAACATTTTGCATTGTTGGACTTACACTAAATAATGCTACAATACTACATTGGTTAGTAAATCGAGGAAAAATGATTATAATTAAGCTTCGTTATTATTTATTTTACAATTAAAACGAAATGTAAAGGGCAATAATGCATATTTTTTAATTGATAAGAGTATTTTTTTTTTTTAATGTGAAAATATAGCTGATATGCTAAATGTACCAAAACCCAAATGGAATAAACCAAAAAGAATGAAATTTATAGATATTTTACCATTAATTTATTGTTTAGTCAGTTATGAATTCGTTTTCAGTAACAATTAACTTAAATAAGTAATAATTATTGTGATCAAATTATAAAACGAGTTACTTTTTACGTCCTACTGTCATATAAATCATATTGCCTCATTAACTCCGCTCCGGTACGCCTTATGTCATATGAAATTGTTAGCTATTTTTTCATTTTTAAATCTTCATTATTGTTGTACTTTTTATTTCTTACTTTCTAATAAAAATACAAATTCATATAATATTATATTATTCAGTGAAATCAAAATTTAAAAAAAAAATCTAAATAATTATTTACCCTATTAGGTCGATAGTTAAGATCTACGTATGTCGTATATTCTATTATTTCTTTTCATATGGTACATATTTTATGGATGTAACCTATTTTAATGAAACATACCAGTGAGTGTGTTATTTTAATTGTTTATCCACATTATATTTGTATTTAATATCATTAAGAAACCCTAAAATATATACATACATATTACCTATTTATATAATATGTTATATAGGTACCTACACAAAATAACTGTGTGTAAAACGAGTGGGCCATGATGGAGCGTACCATTATCGTTTACAGCACATTTTCTAAGTGTTTTACTGTTAGACGTACAAGAAGGATAAGTCGTCTTACATTATCTACAACAGTGCTAAAATGCCATACTGTATGTATTGTTATCCTCAGTTACATCGGTTTATGAGTTTTCTTGACTTTGCTGAGTTTTATACAGGTGCGTGGAATCATTTAGGTTTTATTGCTGATGACAGACAACACCAAGTAATAAATGACCTCGAGTTAAAGTCTCAATCTAGAGTGTTGTTAATACTTTTTCCGTCTGTCTCTTCTACCCTCCGACGTTCAGAAGAAGGTCTGTGTACCGTCGAATAACGGAATAAATGACTAGGTACCTACTGCAAACCAGTAGACACAGTGACAGAACAGAAAGTTACCAAAGTCTTTTTTAAACCCCAACAGAGTCATTAGAAAAGACGCCCTCTCCCTACCACCCTGAAACGAGTTCCCTTGTATTTTTACCCGGTAACCAGGGTGACCGGATATGGGGAGACGGCGGAGCGGGGAGATCGATAAAAGGGTCGGGAAAGCCGATTTTGCGCATCTGCCCCGTGGCTGCCTTTCCGTGCACTCAGACCGTCGCCGAGCCACAAAGACGTCACATTACATGTAAGTTATTATTATTATTGTTATTATATTTTAATACGAATGCGTACATTTAATGGTCCTTAACATTATTTTTAAGCCAGACATATCTCCGTCGCTGTACAGCGAACAAATAGGTAGCACTATTACATTATTGCACGAATCGTTATCAGTCTTAGGTATAAAACAACAAACAACAATGGAGACAAGCAGTAACATCATGCTACTAACAGTCTTATTTCATTTTAGTTTTTTTGCAATGGTCATGATCTACTTATATACACCTAATGTTATTTAACACAAAATTTTTATAATAAACAATTTCAAACCATTCAGAGTAGTAATATAATAATCCTGTTATGAAGTATTGATCTTTTGACTATTTATTTATCTGAATATAGATGTAAAATGTTTAATACTTTTATAAACAACACAAAGTATTCAGTATCTACTAAATTAGAAAACTAACAATCCATTTGTTCCGTTTCATGAATTCGAATATTTCAAAAATGTATTCATATACCAACTAAATAGTGAAACATAACTGTTAAGTGTTATTGTGTTAGGTGCCTATTTTATCTACAAAAGTTATTGTTTTTATAATTTCATATTATTATTATTATTTGTTTTGATTTATTTTTACAAAATAATACATTAAATAAGACCTTTATAATATAACTATTTAAGTATCTGCCTAATCAATATTTTTCTATAAAAATTATTTTAAATTATGTTTAGTACAGTTATAATAATACTTTAGAATATTTGTTATCATTAATTATTAGTTATTTCTAAATATTTGTTTTGTTATTTATATAAATCACCCCACCTAAATATTCATTACAAAAATAAAGAGTTTTTACTAATGTATAGGTAGGTTAAGAAATACAAATGTATAAGCATTACATTTTAAAATTCTTTAATGAACATGCGGAATAATAATCATTAAATTATTTATAAAACATGAATATTGAGGTACCTATGATACTTTATATTTGATAGGTAACAAAATTATTTTTATAATAATATATCTGACCAAAAATGGGATGCTAACTTGTTTTGTAATAATTTATTATTTATAGATTTGATATTTTTATTTTTATTTTTAAAGTTTTTGTCATATATGATAAACAAACTTAATATAAAACAAAAATAACAAAATATATTATTATCAAAGTAAAGGCCTGTGAGGGAGCTTTAGGGGCTGAAGCCCTTAAATACTATTTCAAAAAATAGTACATCATTTTAATTACTTAATTTACATAATATATTTATCCATTCCTTTTGTCATTCCTAGATCTACCTTTGTTTATAATTCTATTATTATTAATACTATAAATACTAATTTATATTATTATAATAATAAGTGCCTATATCAATGGTAATATGCAAACTCTCAAATATGTAGTTACGATATATTGTATATTGTATACTTGTATAGGTATTCACAAATAAATCAATTTTTATTCTTTAATGTCTAATATTATTTTATATTAAAATTTATTTTTTTATTTTTCTTAAGATTTACAGTTTTAATTTTGAAACCTCAATTCTCTCAAAACAACTAACAATAATTAATAAATGTATTTTTATAATAGACCTTATACTCAGAGCATAAGGTCTATGATTTTTATGCTGTTTGGGATTTAGCCTTAGATTTTAATGTTGTAATAAATATGATAATATATTCATAATTACACGTTTACAATATTATAATGGTATTATTTATTTTGTATGGTTTTTTTCATGATTTTAATATAAACATTTGATATTTTAATCAAATTAAATATCAATTTATTAGACAAGTTAAAATTATTGTAACTAACTAGTAAGCAAAATAGTCGTATTATATTTTTATTTAATGTTATTACCTAATGGCTACTATATTATATACATATTACACAACAATATTATACTTGACATGTAAGCACAAAATGACACATCAATAAAAGTAGTTTTAGTGAAATTAAATCTATTCTATGATTTAGGTTCTGATTAATTATGAAATGTACGGATTTAATTGATTGTAAGCATCTATGTAGAAATAGAAAACTACAAAAACTGTTTTTTTTTAACTAAACGAAACCAAATCGTACAAACACATTGTACACTCCAACCTCTAAAACTGTTTGGCATTAAATGTTTATTATTATTTTTAGTGGGTACTTTTAAAAATGACGTCACCAATGTACAATAGTAATCAAAAACTGTCAATCATCTCCCCCCACTGTAAGCCGATCGATTGTTTCACCCTCGCAACCTCATTTTTCAATAGTCATTTCGCCGGGCAGATAATAGATAGTACACAATATTATTAGACATATATGTGTAATTTCCGTTTTAAGAAATGTGCTCCGAGGGGAAACACAATTTCCAAATGATGTAGACTGTCATGGCAAGTTGATAAATAGAGTTTCACATCAGTTACTACTCCAAAAATGCCTAAAGCAATCGTTTGATATAATGGAATTTACCATCTTCGTAGTATAATAGTATATGACTTTAAGCAAAACTAAAATATTTTTTCAACGTTCTATTTCAGACTTATTGAAAATTATTCCATGCATTTCCAAAATTGTAAAATAAACCTATAGCCTTGGGGAGAACAGTAATAGACTATATACAATATAAAAATATATTTTATTTTAAAAGTTAAGAGTTAGAATATTTTTTGCCGCATGAATACAAATATGGTTTTGACATAAAATAAATAATAAAAGTTGAACGAATTTACGGTTGAAATAGAAAACAACAAAAAGAATTATGACAAGATTTTAAATTGGTATTCATTATTATTCCGTTATCGTACAACAAATGAATTGCAATATAAAAATATATCATTTTTCACTCGAACTAAACTACAAAAACGTTGATATTGTGATAAAATAAAACCATTTTAAATGCCATAGGTACCTATCCTACTGCTGGTATTGCTCGAATTTTTTTTTTTTTTGATACCTAAGGAATTAATTATACTCACTTCGTTCGTTATTAACAGAACACGCAGTCATCATGAGGATTTACTTAATCGGATCAGGCCTGTGTATAGCCACGGTGGCCGCTTGTATGGATGCGACCGGCCGTGAATGCGGAGATCTAGGTCCGCCGCCGTCCATACTGGACATGCCCCCGCCTCCGATGCCTTCGTTTTTGGCCGCCGTCTTGAACGATCAGTCGGGCAGCAATGAATCAAACTCGCCGAACAAAGACATGTTGATGGAAACCAACGAACTGGAACCTGGCAAACCGTGCAAAGCCATGTGCGACACTGATCAAGGGGTGGGATTCGTCGAGTTACCGCAACAAGGTACATGAAGTGTAACGTGTGTGGGGGGGACAATTTTTCAGAACTCGATTCCAATGGTATGCACTTGGTTTTAATTGTTTTGAAACGAAAAGCGGTCATTTGTATTTCTATATCATTTCGTATATGTGTACGGTTTTCGGTACATAATATGTTATCACTTTTTTTTTTTTGTCTGTCATCGAGATGTCCGTCGTTGTGAGTTATAACCGCCAATTTAATCGAACCGATTTAACATAATACATTATATTTACAAAAAGTACAAGAACTTTTAATTATTAACCACGAAACGTCCAAAACTCACTACAATATTACGAAAACTCTTTCCAGGACCTATTATCGAGACGTACTCCTGGTGGATGCTGCTGTCCACGTGCTTGCTCGCAGTGATGCTGATCGGGACAGTCATACTAGTGGTAGTCGTCCGGCTGAGAGAGTGAGTACAAAATATGTAATTGTGTTTGACAAAATACGGCTAAACGCGAGTTGACGAGATCGAAATAGATTTATCTTAATATAATACAATTGTGCTATACACAAAAATCAATTTAATAGACAATTTTTCCAATATTATAGTAATGATTTTATAGAAATGATAATTACTTATATATTGATATCAATACATGATGCGTGCTAGTACGTTATTTATTATCATTTAAAACAATCGATATGATTTGTCTACATCGATTCGTTTCCGGACATTATGACCCATAAAAGACCCTATAATGAACGACAATGGCTATACACTGTGTATTCTTCGTACGTCTTCAATTGGTTAACAGCATAATAATTGCTGATAACATCCCTAACGAGCACTATTTAACAAGCGATTCGTGACAATTTCAAATACATACTCAAACTACTTACGTGAATTTTTTTTTTAATATGTCATCACTCTGGTACATACACTATCGACATAATACACCGTCCAGACTTTGGTTTAGGTCGTTTATACAGAATGTGATGAGCTAATTTTTAACAGATTTTTTTTTTGTCCCATGACACTACTATAATCAATGACACACCTGCGCGTTCTGTCCGCAGTAAGAAACGTTGGAGCAAATCGGACTTCAGCCCGGAGCCAAAGAAAAGCCCCCCGCTGTACGACACTATCGACATTTCGCCGAAGACGTTTTGGGCGACGCTGTCGCCCACGGGCAACATCGACACGACGGCCACGACCCGGCGACCCGTGCACCACCATCCGCAGACGATCGCCAACCCGAACTTCGAGAACGGCGCCTACTATCCGTACGAGCAGCAACACGAGTACCAGCAGATCACCACCATCCGCCGCGCCATGCCCGAGTACCAGACCATCAGACCGCACGTGTCGTCGCCCACGCGCATCGAGCACCCAAACATGCCGCCGCTGAACCTGTACAGATCGATCCGCCGGATTTCCGATCTGGAATCGCCGTGATCCGCTCCGGCCGACGGCGATCGCGGTCCACACGGCGGCGTCGTGTGCCCGCCGCGAGTGTAATAATAATAATATGCACCGAGTGCAGTCACCTGCAAGTATATTGATTATTATGCGTTTTAGAAATCCCGTCGGAGGCCGACGACAACATTAACGATAATTTTATAACAATAATTGCGTCGTTGTTGAGCGTATTCCGCGACCGTTTCCCGAACCCGAGACGCCGTAGGTTTCGTCCAATTTTTTCCCGTTTTACTGTCCCCGAAGTCTTCGAGTCCGCACAATATTATCGTTGCAGTGTCCATTATGCTGACGCAGGCATATTGTAAAAATATTATGATGTGCCCCGTTTGCCCCGAAATCGTTTCAACCGCATCGCGCTCTGTGTATATGATTTACGTGTTTGTATTTGGCAGAAAGAAAATCAATTCCTATAATAGAAACTCTACTCGAGTACAGTCGTTGTTTATATACATAGTCCGAACAAAATATGTTTGTACATAGGCGATAGGTAGTACATAGTATGCATAAAGTACTGTATAATATTATTATGTACATATGTAGAAGGCTTACTGATGTCGCGTGAATCTAAAATGTGTATCTCCCCGAAACTCGAATATTCATTTTTTTTCTCTTATATTTATTATCAACATACTTTTTCGTGTTTTCAACGGATTCAATCGTTCGGAATAATCGCACGACACGGTAAACACGACAATATGAAGAAACGCATTGCAAGATACATAAATCAGCATACCTTATTGTGCCATGTTCGAAATTCAAAGAAATTATTATTTTTATTTTTTACACATCAGTAACTCCCATCGTATAATATATACGACGTAGGGTGGAATGTAAACACCGAATTTGATGTTTCATTTTCGAACAGTGTTTTTCAGCACAATACGTCTTTGCGAATTCGCAAGGTAAAAAATGCGTTTGTATACAACATACTTTAACATTTTGTTACCATTTTGTAAGGTAAAAACTCATGGTTTTTTTTTTTTTTTGTTCTTTTCAAGTTTCAATTTTGATGTATCGGCCCAACCCTCTAGTCCTTAAGTTAAGTACTTTTAGTTGAACAATTACAAGCCGCTGTGCTAATGGCATAATTTAATATCATAGCTGTTGACTATTTTATCCACCGGAAAACGACCGGGAAGACCACACAATATAGATTTATCGTATTGATTTGCGTAGCTGTGCAGAACTAAGATTTCCAATATAGGTACGACGCTCCTTTACCATTATACCTGCAATGACTGAAATATTTTTTTGTACAAATTAAATCTCTTGTCAATACTTTAACGTGCTTATGGTTTTCATCCAAGTTATTTAAAGACTTTATTATTTCATAAATCATTATTATTTAATAATGCCACTTGTAATTTTTGTTTTAACTGTATATGTATTCAGCTGTTATATTGTTTTTGTTGATGTTTTATTTGTTTGTTTGTTTGTTTATTTTTTTCGTAAATTATATTATCGTGTATAAATTTGATATACTTAAAATGAAAACTATAATAGTTTTATACGCATAAGATTATTGTATTTATACGTACCTAGATGAATGCAATAAAAAGCATTAATACTTAGTAAATATTATGTCTGTGAGTGTGTTGGTCTTCACCTAAGGTAAAAAAAAAAACGACAAATGTTTGAAACGTCCTCTGCGAAATACGAAATTATGAAATGTAGTTTATTAAGTGCTAAAAAAAAAATGCATGTAGAGATGCCTATCGTTTACGTTACGGGTTATTTTTACATATTCTCCAACGAGTGCCGTGCACCACGTCGGCGGAAACATTAATACAAAATTATTGTACAATATCACAGTATTCGTGTTACCGGAATCGAATGCAAAACCGTCAATTTCGTTACCGTGTATTCGTTATTATACGGGTAAATTGGCAAGGGTTCTTCCCACAAAGGGCGCCAACGTTTATAAATAGAAGCTATCCCACGACGACAGATACTACACTAGACTGAGCCTCACACACATCAGTTACACACTCGCTCAGTTGTCTGCTGACGTGCGTAGTAAACACCCGACAGCAAAATGAATACACAAAAACGCGATACTGTCCCATCGCACGAAACGGATTCGTGACACGTAGTCTGCTTCATCGCGAAATACCTAAAAAAATACCAATATTGTAGTAAATCAATTCGTCTAGCCTCCCTCGCAACATGAACATACTTTTCCGGAAGAATTTCCAGGCGGAAGGCTCCTCCAAGGAGAGAAGCTATTCCAGTGGTCTGGGTAGGAGGACGCCCAGCGGCAACACCAATGCACTGGGAACCGTGCGGAGGACCAGGGAATCCAGGTTAGCAGCTGTTGACCGTAATCGATAAGGATTATTATTTGGTTGCCGCCCCACGTACCGATTCACCCCTCGGCATTATAATAATATATTAACACATCTGTCCATTAGGGTGTTGAAACCGGTTTTTATGACCCTGTGAGAGGATTAGAGACAAATTAGGCGTGAAGCGAATTGAATAATAAGCGAAAATCTATTATCTAATAATAATTATAACAATGATTTCTCAATATTTGACCTTCCTATGAGTACGCAGTAATAATAATAATTATAAAAATACAAATTGCTTCTTTATTTTTGGATATAAAACACCTTCAGCACTTTCAGAGTCGATTTATTAAATGCACAATTTCTTTTACAAGAGTTGAGTAACTAGTTACATCAAGTTAAATTGTATGTTTTATACAATTAAAAAAATTTGACTTAACTTAATGAATTACATAGTATATCTTTTCATTGTTATCTAAATAATAAAATAATTTGTAGATATCCATTTTTACAACTATTTGAAGAATAAAATAATAATTCAAATTTTTGTTATTCTAGTACAAGAGTAAATCAGTATAAAATGCTATAAGTACAATACGCTTAATAACATATACTATTAAATTGTTTGCTTTAATTGCAAAACAATTATTTTAAGTAAGTTTAAGGTCAACTAAGCACCTATATACTAGTAGTTAAAAATTAAATAACTTTATTTATTTCTGTTTACATATTTATTTGTAAATGCCCAATTTATGATAAACATAAGAATTGTGTTTCTCATTTTGTATTCTCGGCAAAGCCACCTAACAGTTCAATGATCGTACATTTAAACTTATTACGGTGATTTTACACTTTTATGTATTTAAAATGTAAATATTAGTTCACGTTCTTATCAGCCACCAGCTATATATCCCGATCTTCGTTGGATAATATTTAATATTAAATTAATGAAAGTTAATTTTAATTATGATTAATCTAACTACTATAATGAAATACTAATATAGGCAATAATATTTTTAGGGCCCTAAGAAGCCTTTTCGATATTTTAATTTGATAACAAGTTATGAACATTTTCAAACCGTACGTTTGTTGTACATTTTAAAATGCTCATAACTTGTTTTAAAATTTAAATAAAAATAAAAAAACTATTCAGGACACTAAATTTAATAGAACTAACCTTAAATTTAAAGTCAATTTACTCTAATATTAAAGATAACTGAGAAAAATGGATTATTCGGAACAAGTAGGATAGATACGACACGGCATTCTCTTTAAACATACTTATAAAAATAAATATATGTTTTAAAATTCGCAATTTAAAAGACTATACATGCAAAGACTGAGTTTAAACCTTTAGTTTTCGCCCTCTCCGCCCCTACAAATGGATCTGGTCTAGGTCTCTAGGGACGTCCCTGGCCGGACTTGATGTGTTTTTCAACTGTCCGTCCGCGTCCAAGCTGATGTTGTGACAATACAGGTGTTCAATGATGATCGACTCGGATCATACTTGTCCGTTTAGGACCCACATACTCCTGGGTCACGCAAACTTCCCACAGGAGTTTGAGGACTTTGTCGGGCCACCTTTGCTGGCACAACCAAAACCCACCTCGGCGGTCCCACTCATACGATGGATCCGGAGGAAACAGTCCACGGGGAAGGCCGAGACGATCGTCACCAACACGCCACAATTCACTAACGCCGCGGGGACCAGTGCGAGCGCGACCGGCAGCTCAGTCAACAACAATCCAATTGACAAGGTTCGGCGTTTATTTCGTATATTTAAGATGACGCCAGCTCGGCACACACCCATCATAAAAACAAAAAAAAATGTAAAAAAAATATAAATTGCTTATAAAAGTGGTTCCAAGCGAAAAAGGCCCACACTGCAGGCTGCTACTGCAATTCCAGTTAAAAAATCAAAATTGTACTCGATACATTACATTTACATTAGTTTTAAACTTAAATTTTATTTAACTCTTTTGTATTAATAATATCAAAAAATGAAACATCAAAGTGTATTATTTTCTGTTTTTGTATAAATTTCGTTTCCTAATGACCTAAGTAGCTCTTTTTTGCCCGAAACTGGTTTCCCATATAATCTCATTACTACACTACAACCAATTATGGTACCGATATGGAACCACGTGTAAGTTACTTCAAATCAGTATTTGAATACCTATATTACATTTAATATTTAAAATGTTCTCAAAATGTCATTAAAATTACCTATTTAAATGCCAGACCTTTTAAAAACCGGACGTGTGGTACCCTCTTTAAATCACTGCAGCGTGAATATTATTATTATTATTTATTATGTTATTTATTATTTTATGATATTTACTTACCCATTGCACGAGACCATCTCGGACGTCGGGGTCATTATTCACTAATTAATATGAATATGTACCGTATAAGTACGTGTTACTTATTACGTTATGAGCGAATATTGCAGTAAATAATGAGACGTTGGACGTAACTTTTCCGATTCTTAACTTTATTATATATACATAATATATATTATATGATTGTCTTCCATAAGCAGTACGAAGTATATAATCTCAAGTATATTTTCTCGCAATTGAATATCACACATCTAAATCACAATATAAACATTTTTTCGGATTTTTTTATACATTACATTATTAGAATAAATTATTATATAATTTAAAAATATAATAAACTGTCGATAACACGAGTTTTAGTGATTTTTTATTATTCGATGGTGCAAAAATTAGTGATTGCCAATTATCTTTTTATTATGCTGCTAAATAATATTGAGAAAAAATAATCAATTTATGCTACTATAGTAAGCTGTTCCAAGCTTATACTAAGATTTACACAAAATATATTCAACTCGATTTTCTAATAAAATAACTCCGACGTTATAATTTGCATAATGAAATGGCGGTTCGTCGCAAAAAAAAAATAAACATTCGTTATTATAGTTATACTAAAACGGTGGTTCAATAAGCGAATGTCTGCCCTGTATTTTTCTTATACCTACTCGTCCGGATTATGATGGTAATTTTCGTTCCCTCTATTTTCTCATTCTTTTATCAAAATAGAAATATTATACATTCGTTTTTGCAGTTATTATTTCCTAACCTATTTTGTTCATAAAAAAATGTCCGTCTACAAATTACCACTTTCAGAATTGCAGAGGTCGCCATGGTTCGTATTCTACACTAAATAATCCTACTGGTACAAACGGTCACAGTACTCTCCATGTCAGAAAAGTCGATTCGGCGAGCATTGCCAATATGGATAAAGATTGTTTTATCATACCAATCGCTTATTTGGACCGATTCCTACCCGACGGGGTCAACGTACGTACAGCTTTGCTCATAACTCATAAGTAATTAAACGGTAATTTAAATATGTTGTCACTCATGGCGCGTATATGCTATTCTAGCTCCCCACGTCGCCAAGTCCAAACAAAACCAATGCTCTAAATATGGTCGAAGTAGACGACCCGAAAACTTGCCTCATGTTTCACATGATGACCACGTTGGAACCGATCGATCCTGTTTTAGAATCTCCTTTGTCGGATCCAATGGCCAGACAAACAGCAGCTGCTTGTTCGCTACTGACAGAAATAGCTGGAACAAAAGTAGCTTCGGAGGGCATGTTGCTGGCAAATTTAGAAAAAGACGGTAATATTCACTCAAACAGTCAACTAAAAATGTCTTAAGAGTTTAGTACACTTAAGTGTACGCTTCTGTATATTATAGTCTAGATTAGCGTACTTGCGTGCTATGCACAGATGTTCTTGTATATAATCCTTATTTACTGCCTAATTCTTTCAAAAAAATGTCCATAAAATAGTGGAAACTCAATATTTTTCATGTTTGAACAAATTATATGAATTCGTATTTTTTTAAGAAACTATCAAATATAAATATTTTCAACACGTTTTTAATTTATCCTAAACATATATTTAAAAAATTTGTTGAGCAATTAAATTAACTATAATATCACTTAAAAGCTATATGAGTATTATTACTAATTTCGTTTCTGTTTTTGTTTTAAGTGCTTTTATTTACAATATACTAACTAAATATTTCATAAATAAAATATTTAGTAGATATAGAACCAATGATAAAAATGTGATAATTGTTAAATAGTATAAAATATATATTATATATATATATAAATACAATGTTTCTAAGTCTTTGTGAATATGATATAATTATAATTTAGAATCTTAGTATCTATATTATTTATAGTACAACGTCTCCGGGATTTAATAAATTTAATTGAAAAACGAATTAACGCAATAAACCAATAGAATTATTTTAGTGCATATATACACATGAAGTACGGATCTATATTTTTGCTCATTACGTCTCTTGCTTATTTTTTTAGGATAATATAGATTAAAAAACTCGTATATTCATAAATTTGTTTATCGTACCCACTCGGTACATTTTGTATTAATATAGTGTTAAATTAAATTGATAATAATAATAATAATTGTGTTAACTGAATACGTTTTTTATTCTGAAAACGCAGCCGTGTTCCCGTTCATCACATATTACGTGTTGAATAAGTCTTCGGTGTCCAACCCTCGCGAAGTGGCGGTGAACGTCCGGAATACGACTCTGAAAAAATTTGACCCCAGGGCCATCAAGCACACCACCGACCATACTTTCGACTTGTTCACCGAAGTGGCCAACATTGTGTGCCCGCCGATGAGTCAGTCTAAGAGGCCTAGGGGTACGCACACCGCTTACATCATATCGGTGTACAAAGTATTCGACGGCGACGACAGCGAAAAGTTCGAGAAACACTGGCTTTATTGGACAGGTACATCGATAAACCTTATGTGTTCTATAGATATATTATAATTACGTATATAATTCTTACTATAATTAATAGTAAAATACAATTTTACCCTCCCGTATACGCCTACCCAACATTGCGTGCGAGAATAATACATTTCGATCTAAGAGGACGTCAGCGCACTGTTAGTTTTTTCCCTCTCTGGCCCAACTACATATAGACAAAACACATTAATTACACAAAATCATTTTTTTTGTGTGTTTCTGAGTTATCTTAGATTAAATCACAATCATCCATCACAAAAGTGATAAAGAATATTATAATTGTGGATATGATAAATCGTTATTGGATTGTCTAATAATAATTGTCTCATAACAATTTAAACGGCATTTAAATTTACAAAAAAAAATATTTTATTCTGAAAGTCAAATACAATGTCAACTAATAATAAAATATAAAACCGATACGTAATACCTTCAGACTAAGAAATGTCGTCTATGATTTCTGTAAATCTATGATTTTACTCTAAGATTCTTACTCAACATTCATAAAATGCGATTTTAGGTGAAAGTGTTGTATCCATGTTAAACGTGGGTCTGCAGAAAGCTGAGAGAGAAAACAAATATTGCGCTGACATCCTCTTAAGGGAATTGGAATCGATGATTTCCTGCCTTTGTCTAACACAAGCGCTATATTGGATTCACTTCAACGTACCGATTGATTTATTGAAGCGATAAGAATTCTAAAATCTATTCGACTCTGCTATATTTTTGACTTTATCCCCCTAAATCCTAAAAATGGAAATGGAATATTTAAATTTTTGGAGAAGTTAAAATCAAAAGTTTGAAAATCTGGGGAAGTCGGTCTCAAGTAGACTTGACGACAAATTCATATCTGTTTTTAGAATTCTTATCGCTTCACTTGAAACCCCTTGAAATGTTTAACTGAATGCCCGATCGACGCTTTTCAGGCGCACGCATGATCTACAACTATCTACCGAAATCCGCCGGCTTGAGGAGGATAACGTTACACAAATCGCAATCGAACGGAGACAAACAGTACGTGCTGATGTGCGAATGTGCCAATTTGCTACAAGACTTCACTTCCGTGGCCAAATTACTGCCGGCACTCAAGGCTAGACTGTGCGGTTGCACTGGAGTGTACCGATCTATATTCATAATTTAATGTTTAATTATAAAATAACATGTACTGTAACATACTGGTACCGCGATTTTAGAACCCACCTGTGCGCGCGTACACATCTCCGTGGTAATAACGCAAGCACGTAGCTAAGACTACGATCAGCGTATATAATTAAATACGATTTTCCAATAAATACTCCGAAATTTATACGATATAATATGGGTACCAACTTACAATACGTCTATAATATACTATATATTGCTATAATGATGTATAAATAATTATAAGTATTATTATTATTATTATTATTATTATTATTATTATTATTATTATTATTATTATTATTATTATTATTATTATTATTATTATACGATACTCGTATAACGTGTGTACAAATTAAATTACAATTGTATTTTATAAATGAGATTTTTGATTATTTTCATATTATTTTACACATACCTATCATACTAGCGTAGACACTAATATGTACATGCCTACACGAATCAAACTGACACGTCTCCGAGTTACCAAGTAAACTAATATTGACAACCAGCCGAGCACAAAATAATTATATTTCATGAATAAACAGCACTCAGTGGCAGCCAGTAAGTACCTACTACCATGGCTTAAATATACAAGGTTATTGCAATAGTACCCCCACTATATCATTTTATCACGTTAAGGAATTAAAATGGCAGCGTAAGGGGACGACGTATACTGGCTATATTATGATATTATATCCTATGATATGGACCGTACCCTTACGCTGCCATTTTATTTTTATTTGATAACAATTTGGCTATGTGCAATAACCTTGTATATTTAAGTCATGCCTACTACCTACGTACCTACCATAAGTACATCAAACTATTTGATGGCGAATGACTTAAGGTTAAATAGTAAATGTGACGTTCTATAATATCCAATGATTATAATTTATTAAACATTATGACATTGTATTATTACGACTAAACGATCAAAACATAGTGTTAATGGACATGATCTTGATATAAATGTATAGTTAATTAATTGAATCTATTACATAGATCTAATTAACACGCGTAAAGTGAATAAGTATTAAAAGCTATACGACAGACATAAATCAATAATACCCGGTTAGTATAAAACTATAAAAACGCATATATACTTTGCTCTAGTAAACTTGTCAAGTATCAACCTATGCATGTAATGAGTGCACTAATGTAAACTGAGTATGATGTGATTTGACTCTAAAAATACCTATGTGTATAACATAATAATACACATTTAAAAAAAAATCAAACTAACCATTACCTAGATAGTGCTTTGGTCTTATACAGAATTGTTGACTAGAAATGATGATAGAAAAAAATTTTAAAGAAATGTATTATGACAAATACTTCCTTCTATATCATATAATACTGTATATTGTATACACCTACATTTTGAATAGGTAATTTTGTGTTTTTATAAATATACCAGTTAAACTTGTAACCGAATAATTAACTGTGAGGATTGATGTATTTATGTGTAAAACCACATGTGTTTGTTGTTAAGAAATGAAACACGGGCGTTAAAAATCGACAGTCTACCCTTACTTGTTTCTCGGTAATAAATGAGAATAGAGTCATAAAGGCTTCGGCTCCTCTTTTATGGGGTGGGCACCTACCTAAGACAAAGTTACAAATGATTTATGACTTGTGTTACACTTGCAGCATCGTCAATATATTATTATACGTACGTATACTTATATCTTTTTTACACAACGATAAACCAATGATTTATCACAATAATAATATGTCATCGAATAGCAAGAAAAACATTTATATTCACAATATTGGGCGAGTGTAAAAAGAAAAACATTTTCGTACCACGTTAGATAAATATGGTCGATTTACAGTAAGACAGTTTCGTGTATCTAAGTATGTACGGTAATACTCTCCAAAAGTCCGAAATAATGTTTGAACTACAGAAACGTATACCTATTCAGACATTTGGCGCCGCGGTGCTTTTTTTTAATTCATAGCAAAATCCATTTTTGTTCACTTGTGTTGCGCAATGTGACAATTTGTCTTTTCTCCTTGATACGTTTCTGCTATATGTTTCATTGTTTTCCAATAATTATTTAAACCTTTTTTAAATATCGATTTTAGTGGCATGGACACCATACCTACCTGAGTCTATTCAATAATAGTACTCTACATTATACATTTATGGTTTATGCACGGTGATAACCAGAGATAATGTTATTATCGTGGGCCTGTAACCTAATGGACATTTTCTTTTTACTCCACCCTACACCCAAGGCCCAGTCCCCAGTGACTAAATAAATGTGAGGGAACGAATACAAAGCAGTAAAACGTGGATGGAATTACCTACTAGTTTTCAACCATTTTGACATAACATGATACTATGATGTTTAACATAGTACGTTCATAGCCACAATTTGGATTTTATTCTCGTGGTGGGTTTTTCCCTCTACATCCTTCTCTAACTCTCTTTTTAGAACATTTAAAATTGAAATATATATTATAGTAGCTGATCCCGTGCACTTTGTTACCTGTTAAAAATGCCAACTCTATATATGAGACTCGATAGTGATAATGCGAGCAGTACATATGCCCACCTGCTGTGGATTGAGGACCCCGCCTGATGAGTACTTTATATAAATAATATATGTTTTATTTTTATTTTGATTGCGGACACAATATAAATTGTTATATAAATTATTAAAAACAGACTAATACAATTTCTTGGGGTAAACAACAAAATTTCCAAAAAAAAAAAACAATTTAGTTTCAGACCCGGTCCAAGTTCGGAAGACGCACTATATAATCTGACGAAGTTTATAATTCACTCCTTAGAAAACGGTGAAAACCCTAAACCAATTTTTTTAGACTCAGCAAAGACTTTTGATACAGTTAACCACAAAGAACTGTTAAAAATTTTGCCCAATTTTAGAATAACAAATAAAAATGTACTATGGTTTATCGATTACCTCAAGAACAGAATACAAATGGTACATTTTATAGGTGAATACTGAATTGGGGAAAAAAATTATCTGTGATATACCACAAAGAAGGTGTACTTAACCAATTTTTTCATTTTGTGTGTGGATAATAAAATAAGTAACACTAAACTAGATGGATGCTTTGTCACATATGCGGACGATACATGTCTCCTCTTTTCTGACAAAACGTGGGAATCCGACCCCACAAAAGCAACGAATGAACTAAAAAAAGTCATACTCTTACTATCACTTAATATTTTTATTTTTCAAATTGAACAAAATATTATACCCATTGTATCAATATTCATAAATTACCATTCTCAACACTGGGTCAGCATTTCAGCAATCGGATAAGTACCTTTTAATAAAATTGTATGATATAACGGTTTTCTTATTTCTAATATTAAGTAGGTAGGTACCTATTTTTACGTAAAAAGAAATGTTACTATTAAAATATTAATTCTAACAAAAATTATATTTGAACTGTTTTGTATAAGTGCCTGCGAAAATGGGAATAACTAATAGGTATCATTCTTAATGATTGCTTTCAACTTTTCAAGGAATAGTATTTGATTGCAATTCATCAACCCAAATTTATAATCCGTAAATCCTTTATTATTTTGAGTTGGTTGCATGCATGTGTTATAGTAATATTGTACCACGATCTTAGACGACCGTGTATTATACTCATGAGCATTCGAGTACTCTACTACTCTAATGTTCACGATTATACTATATCGCAGTGTAACATGTTACCATAGAAAAGTGAAAATGTTTTTAACGGCAACATTTATTCTAATTTATAATCAATAATCATATACTTATAATAGCATAGACATAATAGATTAGAAAGCAATTAATTATTTCTTTAAGTCTATGGGTGTTATCTACATACAGACAATTGATAACAGTATCAAATGGAACCGTACACTGTACAGATATCAATTTTGTGTGAAATCAAAAACATTCAAATTAAATTATTGTCCAAAGAAAATTGAACGGTAAATTAATAAATAATACAGATAAACAATAACAAAACTCTTATAAAATTCGAGATTATTATTATTTACAACTGTTGCAGTCACACAGGATACAGCCAAATTACACTCCGATACAGTATGTAATTATTTGCATACATACTAAAATAATTACAATACTATATCCACTTGTTCATTCACTAATTCATACAAGATGATGCGCTACGATGAAGGGCAACTCACAGACCATAGGCCTTGTGCGGGCGTAAGAGCAGACCTCAAGATGTGTCTATTGGAATCGGACTGCTGTAAAATAGTAAATAATTTATTTTGTTCTAAAAAGAGTACCTACCTAATGCATATTTTATGGGCGTCCCAAAATTTTAATTGGTGTTGATTATAATTTTTAGGAAAGAAAGTTACCCAAAGACTGTTTGAAAGAAAAAAACTGTCCACCAGAATGCTTGGCATTACAAAATACATTTTTTGAATGCAAAAGGTCTCTTGTAAGTGTTAAGTTAATTCAGTTCAATAGATAATATTTTGTTAGTATTTATAATCAGGAATTTGATTTATAATATTTAGATTGGTTCATTTATCCTATAATAGTAATCTTCCCTTAAATAGTTAAATATTAAAAAATGCCTATGGTATCAAAATGTCAGAATATAAAAAAAAATTGATTAACTGCTATCATAAGTATAAGAAATAACCACTTTATTAGACGGCTAAAACAAATTATAAATTATTTCTACATATTAAACTCTAAATTGTATGTTGGGTATAAAACAAATGACACAATTAATCTATCAATACAACAGTATAATAATTTACATTTTTATGAATAAATTGAATTAAATTATTAGTATGTAATTGACTATAATTTAAAAACATGTTTATTAGCTTATTTGATTGTAAATTACTAAAATATGACCAACTTTATTTAAAAAACAAGTAAAATGCAAAATTTACAAAATTAAATATTAAATTCTTCTATGCATTATGCAAATAATTTTAAGTTTACCCTAGCAGTAAGTAATTAATAACTAGTAGTTATTACAAATAGAATATCTTATAACAAATATGCAAATGCTAGTATAAATGCGAATCCACTCCTTGTTTATAAGTTCTATGTAACTACATTGTTATATTAATATTATTGCATTACCAAATTACACATAAAAATATAAATATACTAATGTTAAGTTATAAAATCTTAAGAGGACGTTATTTCCGCAAGTGACATGTCACCTTCTTATAAGTGCATCACATACCAAATTGTACTCTCAGCAGATCGCGTTTAGCTCTATTAGCTTAAAAATTAAATTTAAGATAATTATATAGGGCATCTCATCGGCTTTTTATTATATTTTAAATTTAAAGCAAGTTTTAAGTATTTTATGATGTACAAACAATTTATTTTTAAATACTCATAACTCATCTCAACATTAAAATTTAATAAAAAAAACCCATGATATGCCATACATAATAATAGTAGCTTTAAATTTTAGGGGAGGTCAATTCTCTCTTATTTCTTAAACTAATGGAGCTAAACTTGATCTGCAGAGCTTATAATTTGTTATGTTACGCGCTTGAAGGGGGGAGACAACACATGTGAGTATAACATTCTCTTAATAACCATTATAATATTCAAATAATTGTATTTCAGTTGGACAACAGACAGCGATTCAGAGGAAGAAAAGGCTATTAACAGTGTACAATGTATATGGATTTCAAGACTTTCTCTGATGTTCTATTTTTTTTATAGTTGTTTACTTTTTAGTCGTCCAAAATAAAATGATTCAAAATTAGTTTTTATTTACACTTTAATTTGTATAAATTTCATTAACAAAACACATTTTATACATTACAAATATACAAATTCTTAAAAATTATATTTTGTATAAGTATATTATACTATAGTAAAACTGTACAGGTATCTCAGTCATTATTTTCTTTTGAAACTCCACAATTCTTTAGCAACACGTTTCTGTTTATCAGTTCCTAGTTCATTTACAAATGGTATAATGTCTAACAATATATCTTTAGGAGATTCGTGTACATCGTCAAACCATCCTTTAATATCCTTATACATTTGTATATCATTGGTATATTGGAAATGTTTTGGCTTTACAATTGATCTAAATGCCTTTACGGGTTTTTCATTTGCCAACATTAGTCCTCTGACAGCTACTGATAATGACGACAAACTTATATCATATATAGAAACTCCAAACATAAAATTTGAACTTAACATTACATCAGCGGCACTGATTGCATCAGCTCCTTTGCAAATGTCAGTTAAACTAGAGAAACGAGTTAAATAGTTTTCTTGAAGAAATCCCAAAACTGTAGTCGGTTGCATTGCAAAATTTTCAACCAGTTTATCAGGATTATGAGTAAATTTAAACTGAAGTGGAGAGTTTATAACTTCTCTCTTTGGGTATATAACACGGCCAATGGAATGAAATAAATCAAGTGTCTCGTCCATTGAAGCAGTAGAATACTTTTTACTGATTTTATTTTGGACGTTCATACAGGAAAAACTTAAACTTATAATTGATGCTCTCAGATCACCGTTAGTCTCATCGTATATAGCATTAAATTCAGTTGAATTTGGTATCCTTAATAATTTATTCTTCTGTTGTTCAGATTTGACAATTTGTTCCAATACAGCCAAGACAGATTTTCTTGTGATTGGGTTGAATTTGATTTGTTGCACTTTCAATCTTTCTGAGATTTCTGGAGAAAATAGATCACGAATAATTTTCTCGTTGTTAATAATAAACACAATTGGGAATTGTGAGGGTGTATTAAAACGCATCATAATATCATGAAACTCATCAGGCTTATCTAAGAAAATATTAGGAATATCTTTTATCAACAAGAATTGACCATTAGAAACACCGCAACTTAAACTGCGGTATCTTGTTGCGCCCCAAATAAAATCTTGGAACTTATCTTGTACATTTTGGTAACAATAACCATCGGTGCACTGGTCATAGATTGGTTCAATAGTCATTGGTGTTACCCATTCTAAACAAATGAAACCACACTGTTTGGCTATCAATTTCACTGTAGTTGCTTTCGCACATCCTGTAGGTCCAGTAACGAGTAAGATTTTACTTTTAATCAACGAATTATTATTTAAACTTTCAAACCAATGTTTCACTTCTTTTATTTTACCATTATGCACTGCTAGTTTAGAGACAGACTGAGGAGTGTAAGTATTACACCAATCAGAATTTTTATTTGCACTTTCAGCATGAGGCCTTTTTCTACTAGTATGCTTCAATGGTTTGATGGTTGATGGAATCTCTTCAAAAGATGGTTTAATCCATGCTTTTTTTTCAGGACTCATTATCTAAGAAATTGAAATTGAAATATCAACATTTTGTAAGACAATAATTATATAAATAAGAGTAAATTGAAACTAATACTAGTAAACAATCATAGGCATATCTAGACCATTTGATTAGGGAGAGACTGAAGTCTTGACATTTTTTTATAGCAGAGTAAGGTATGGAGACAGTACATGACTAATATATTCTGGGGGATTCAGCCCCCTCTAACTATGCATATGAATTCAATATAAAAATAGAAGAACACATAGAAGTTTTAATTGTATAAAAATAATAATAACTGAAACAGTTAATTAATTAAAAACTAATACTTACAGATTTCAGATTTGTGAATCCCAAAATTTAAATAATCATGTTTTATTTAGTAAGGTAGATACTATTAATTTTCATACGATAATGTTGATCAATAGGGCTAACAAGTAAGGTTATTGTATTAAAAGTAAGTAGTAACTAATCGATTGTATTGATTACTTCGGCAAACCAAATTTGAACTATTTGAAACTTTGAAAGTTTAAAAATTTAAAAATAATATAATTTGTTATCAATGCCGAGACTGGAGATGATAACCGCGCCTATATAGATAATAAACTCCTGCCTTATCATGGAGATAAAAGACGAATAGTTGAGTGATTATGAGATCGCCTCTAATTTATCGTTCTATGCCTTACTGTAGATCATATTGTGTATGATCTAAGTTCTATGCTCTGATCATAGAGTAAAATTAACATATAATTAACTCAAACAATTAACAGTAGTAAAAAATGTACGTAAATACTAAATTGAAATTTATTATTAAATTACATGCGTAGGTAACATTGTAAAATTGTATAATTAAAATATTACATGCGTATTATATTGCAATAGTGACATACTTTATTATGTTAAACCGACATAATATCTTAAATAAATTGCATTACTGATATCCACATTTTTAGACTTTCTAATCTAGTAGTTTATTTTTTTTGAAAAGGTGGTAAGGCGTTATTTGTCCAAATAACTTGATTCGTATTATAAAAAACTATTGTTCTCTTTATAATTTCAAGCTCTTCGGATACCGTGCTTAGTCGGAACTTTAACAACATATTTTCTTTTTCTAAAAGAAATAATTTCAATGCCATCTGAAAAAAAAATAATACACATATACTCACTGTATAAACATATTAGGTAATAGGTAGGTACCTATAAATGTACAACACATTAATACTTTATATCCACTATGTTGTCTATTAGTTGCTATATTCAAAAATATTCAAATTATGTTTTTGGTATAATAATAATATAATAGATAATATACAGGAGCATATTTAGGCACGGGCCAAAAGCTGTAACATTATGGGAATATCAAATTTTGGAAAAATATCGAAAAATGCGGCGATTGTAAACTGCGCCCAACGTACAGGTAAACACGAAATCATACATGTAAACTGCGCCCGAGTTCTTATCGTGTGTAAAAAGGTGATATGTAAACTGCTCTCGAGTTTTATCAAATGTAAAAAGGTGACATATGTTACATAATATGTAAACTGCGCCCGGCTAAACTTTTAAAAATTGAATAGCTATATTTTTGCCAAATTAAACAAAATTACAGAATTGCTTGTCTAAAATTACAATCTTTAATATATTTAATTCATTACATCCATTATATAGCATCAATAAAATCTTAAAAAGTACAATATTAGGACAAAAAAAAACATATTGTTGATACATATTCATCAATTGGAGTTTGACCACTATTATATTTATTAATTAAATGTTGTAACGTTTTTCGTTTATTTTTTGTCTTAGAATTTTGGTATTTAAAGGGTACATTTATACTATTTAGTTTAATATATGTTTCTATTTGAACTTCATTTAACTTTTCTAAGAACATGAAAATATTTGGATGAGTAGT